TCAGTGAAGCTCCACTGCAGAACCCACTGTAAAGACAGAGAACTGCATTCAACCAAACCTGCACTGCAGAGCCCCCGATCCCCCCACACACCTTCTTCCACGGTAGAGTCTAGCTGTGTGACTTTGACAGCCAGTAGGTCTACTCTCTCCTGTAGGTTGTTCATTCTCATGTAGAAGCTGTTGGCTTCGTTGAACAGCTCCCCAAAGATGTCCTCCGCATGACGGCCTGCAGGGGACACACCACACACACACACACACACACACACACACACAGGCGATAACACAGAGCTTAATCAATGGGCTGGGATTCTGTATCGTCTCTCTGCAGGGTGCTGTGCCTCCTGCAGAGCTGCTGTCTGACATCCAGCGGAGAACAATACATTATAGTCTGCCCGCTCCAGAGTGCGAGTGTGTGTGTGTGTGTGTGTGTGTGTGTGTGTGTGTGTGTCTCCACATCTAATTGTCCAGGGACCCTGCATATCCCCAGTGGAATATATTACAATATACTGTATATCAAAACAACAGCACCTCCTGTAACATTGCAAGGTGATGTTTTTGTGACGTTACTGTTATTGACTAGATATAACGACCGACGACTCCCTGGTATAGTTCTGATTGCATATAGACACACCACATATTAATCATGCACTTCATTTTCTACTGACGTTCAATCTAAGTGCAATCCCTATATGGAACACAATAACACCTACAGGTGAAGAGGTATGTGTCTTAAAATGTCGAGAAGCTTCTAGAACATTCTAGAAGCTTCTAGAATATTCTAGAATATCCCCAAAGGAGAACCATTAGACCACAAACCACAATAACAATGTGTACTTACTCCAATGGCTGCTACACTTGAGAGTTTGCATTAGCAACCACTCTGCTTTTGTAGTGACTATCTTTACTCTGCAGCTAGGCTTGGTTATTACAATGGACTCAATAAAGTAAGATGACTCTCTTGTGGAGGAAGCCCTTTTTGCTAATTTAATACATTTTCCACACAACTCGACTCATCTATCCAATAGGAGCTATAGAGCAACATGATTAGTATTACCTTCAGGTGTCTGGGGTCAGAGGGTCAACTTATTCTATTCCCAGCCTCACACTAATCTATCTCAACCTCTACAGCAGACCTGATCAGCCTACAGGATCACCTAGCAGGCACAGACCACACCACCCAGGAGAAGGAGGGATTTACATTAGGAGCATGTGAGCATGGCCTTACATGTTAAAAAATGTCCTCCTGTCCTGTTTGTCTGCTTCACACATATACAGAGAGAGATAGAGAGAGAGAGAGAGAGAGAGAGAGAGAGAGAGAGAGAGAGAGAGAGAGAGAGAGAGAGAGACAGACAGAGAGAGAGAGAGAGACAGACAGACAGAGAGAGACAGGCAAACGGACAGGCAGACACACAGACAGACAGACAGACAGACAGACAGACAGACAGACAGACAGGCAGGCAGGCAGACAGGCAAGCAGGCAGGCAGGCAGACAGACAGACACACACAGACCCCCGTCCTACCCCAACACACACGGTGTAGAACAGGCTCCTCAGAGGAGGAATGGGGGGACCATCCTAGTCAGTGAATTTTCAAATAGTGAAACGTTTAAAAAGTTTTAACAAAATGATGAAACTATACTAAATATATTCACATGTCACCAAGTAACTGATTAAAACACAGTGTTTTGCAATGAAAGTCTGCAGTAGCCTTAACAGCAGCACTCTGTAGGGTAGCACCATGGTTTAGCCGGAGGACAGCTAGCTTCCGTCCTCCTCTGGGTACATTGCCTTCAATACAAAATCTAGGAGGCTCTTGGTTCTCACCCCTTCCATAGACCTACACAGTAATTATGACAACTTCCGGAGGACGTCCTCCAACCTATCAGAGCTCTAGCAGCATGAACTGACATGTTGTCCACCCAACCAAAGGATCAGAGAATGAATCTAGTTCTGAAAGCATAAGCTACAGCTAGCTAGCACTGCAGTGCATACAATGTGGTGAGTAGTTGACTCAAAGAGAGAGAAAGAGAATAGTTGAACAGTTTTAAACAAATTAATTTCTTAAAAAATTAAGGAGAAGCAGCAGAGAGAGATAGACAGAGAGAGCTAGCTATATTTAGGTGTATTTTTTTCACTTTAACTTAGCTTACTCAAACAGAGAGGAATGCTAACTATGTTAGCTAGCTGGCTAAGGCTAAGGCTATCCAACACTGGTACTCTTCCACGTCAAGGTCAGCTTTCGGTTTTATTAATTTATTGCCACCGGGGCCCGCCGGTGTAACTGCTAATCTGCTAAACTGCTGACTGTACACTGTATTGCGTGATTGTAGCGGGTTTACGAATGCGTTAGTTTTAGTAGTTATGTTGACTATGACGTTAGCTAATATGGTGACAACAATGTAGGCTGTGTGTAGCGGTTAGCGGTTATGCTATGAAGGTTTGGCTTGGAAAGTTTTTTTTGGCCTGGTCACAGACAGCTGTTGCGTTCTGCACTGAAGTCCACAAGCGAAGGGAAAAAATTAAAGGAGGAGATGCAAAAAGGAATTATACAAGGAATTATACAATTATACAAGGAATTATACAATGAACAGTGTTGATGCCATGTTCAAGAATGGGCTTTCTCCCTTTATTCAGATTACAACCTCTCACTTTCTCACGCGCTTCTACATCTGCATTGCTGTTTGGGGTTATAGGCTGGGTTTCTGTATAGCACTTTGTGACATCTGCTGATGTAAAAACGGCTTTATAAATACAATTTGATTGATTGATTGACTTTCGGTTATTTGAAAATGAAATAATCTCCAAAATATCGCTATTTTTAAAACAAGCCATAGAAAGTTGGTTTCAATTTCAGTTTAATCCACCAGAAAATACAAATAATACAATGAATATTGTGGTTAAACTCAAATACCCTAATTGATTGAAAAAAACTATATTTTTCACCCCAAAAATTTAAACAGGTATAATCTTTGTAAATTATATCATAAATATGACTGGTGGAGTTATGACATACATGCAGCTAACACAAATATATGGAAATGTCTGCTCTACCCAAAATTACAACCAACTAATTGCAGCATTACCGCAAAAATGGAAGAGGGAACTTGTCTGTTGGCCCTGCATTAAAGACCAAAATTGGTTAAAGAAAATTGCGATAAATAAAAAAGTATACCAGTTTCATTTAAGGACCAAAAAATGTACAGCTGTGCCATATAGATTGCAAATAGTTGATAAGAGATTTTCGATGTACCGATTCCATGGCACATGGTTTATGAACTGATACGCAAAACAGCGCTGGATTCAAAACTTTTTCAATTTAAATTATTATACAAACTTCTTGCAACCAATATAATGTTATATACAGTGGGGGGGAAAAGTATTTAGTCAGCCACCAATTGTGCAAGTTCTCCCACTTAAAAAGATGAGAGAGGCCTGTAATTTTCATCATAGGTACACGTCAACTATGACAGACAAATTGAGATTTTTCTTTTCAGAAAATCACATTGTAGGATTTTTTATGAATTTATTTGGAAATTATGGTGGAAAATAAGTATTTGGTCACCTACAAACAAGCAAGATTTCTGGCTCTCACAGACCTGTAACTTCTTCTTTAAGAGGCTCCTCTGTCCTCCACTCGTTACCTGTATTAATGGCACCTGTTTGAACTTGTTATCAGTATAAAAGACACCTGTCCACAACCTCAAACAGTCACACTCCAAACTCCACTATGGCCAAGACCAAAGAGCTGTCAAAGGACACCAGAAACAACATTGTAGACCTGCACCAGGCTGGGAAGACTGAATCTGCAATAGGTAAGCAGCTTGGTTGGAAGAAATCAACTGTGGGAGCAATTATTAGGAAATGGAAGACATACAAGACCACTGATAATCTCCCTCGATCTGTGGCTCCACGCAAGATCTCACCCCGTGGGGTCAAAATGATCACAAGAACGGTGAGCAAAAATCCCAGAACCACACGGGGGGACCTAGTGAATGACCTGCAGAGAGCTGGGACCAAAGTAACAAAGCCTACCATCAGTAACACACTACGCCGCCAGGGACTCAAATCCTGCAGTGCCAGATGTGTCCCCCTGCTTAAGCCAGTACATGTCCAGGCTCGTCTGAAGTTTGCTAGAGTGCGTTTGGATGATCCAGAAGAGGATTGGGAGAATGTCATATGGTCAGATGAAACCAAAATAGAACTTTTTGGTAAAAACTCAACTCGTCGTGTTTGGAGGACAAAGAATGCTGAGTTGCATCCAAAGAACACCATACCTACTGTGAAGCATGGGGGTGGGAAACATCATGCTTTGGGGCTGTTTTTCTGCAAAGGGACCAGGACGACTTATCCGTGTAAAGGAAAGAATGAATGGGGCCATGTATCGTGAGATTTTGAGTGAAAAACCTCCTTCCATCAGCAAGGGCATTGAAGATGAAACGTTGCTGGGTCTTTCAGCATGACAATGATCCCAAACACACCGCCCGGGCAACGAAGGAGTGGCTTCGTAAGAAGCATTTCAAGGTCCTGGAGTGGCCTAGCCAGTCTCCAGATCTCAACCCCATAGAAAATCTTTGGAGGGAGTTGAAAGTCCGTGTTGCCCAGCGACAGCCCCAAAACATCACTGCTCTAGAGGAGATCTGCATGGAGGAATGGGCCAAAATACCAGCAACAGTGTGTGAAAACCTTGTGAAGACTTACAGAAAACGTTTGACCTGTGTCATTGCCAACAAAGGGTATATAACAAAGTATTTAGAAACTTTTGTTATTGACCAAATACTTATTTTCCACCATAATTTGCAAATAAATTCATTAAAAATCCTACAATGTGATTTTCTGGATTTTTTTTCTCATTTTGTCTGTCATAGTTGACGTGTACCTATGATGAAAATTACAGGCCTCTCTCATCTTTTTAAGTGGGAGAACTTGCACAATTGGTGGCTGACTAAATACTTTTTTTCCCCACTGTATATGGGGGATACAACCATCCCAGCTCTGCAGATTTTGCTGCGAAGAGACAGAATCATTAGATCATTTGTTTTGGTACGGTCCATATGTAGCTTGATTTTGGTCGCAGGTCCAGGAATGGTTGAAAAAGTGCAACATTTACCTGGAGCTAACTCTGCAGATAGAACTACATAGTCAATCGATCAACAATATTATAATACTTTTAGCAAAAATCTGTATCTTTAATTTACAATCTGTAGAAACTATGAGAATAGGAAGGTTCAGAACTTTTGTGAAACATCACAGCACATTTGAAAAATATATGGCAAATATAAATACAAAATGTATGGTGTTGGGGGATAGATGGGAGGGGTTGAGTGGAGCTGAATGGTGGGATTAAAAATCAACAAGATAACTAATGTAAAATATGCTGTGTCCGTAAAATGTATATGGGTTCGGAACTTTTGTGAAACAGCACAGTTAAAAATATATGGCAAAGTAGAAATCAAGCTGGATGGGCTTCGGAGATGGATGGGAGGGGTTGATGGTAGAATGTATATAGCTATATATGATATATATATATGATATATATAGAATATATATGGAAGTAAAAGCCTATATGTTGTTGTCCATTAGTTTACTCCAATTAGGAGGGGTGGTGGGGCTAGGGGAAAATAATAAAGGAAAATATATTTTAAAAGGATATGTATATGTAGACAGTACCAGTCAAAAGTTTGGACACACCTACTCATTCCAGGGTTTTTCTTTATTTTTAAAATGTTCTACATTGTAGAATAATAGTGAAGACATCAAACTATGAAATAACACATTTGGAATCATGTAGTAAACAAAAAAGTGTTCAAAATATATTTTATATTTGAGAATCTTCAAATATCCACCCTTTGCCTTGATGACAGCTTTGCACACGTTTCCAATAGTCTTGAAGGAGTTCCCACATATGCTGAGCTTGTTGGATGCTTTTCCTTCACTCTGCCATCAAACTCATCCCAAACCATCTCAATTGGGTTGAGGTCGGATTGTGGAGGCCAGGTCATCTGATGCAGCACTCCATCACTCTCCTTCTTTGTAAAATAGCCCTTACACAGCCTGGAGGTGTGTTGGGTCATTGTCCTGTTGAAAAACAAATGATAGTCCCACTAAGCCCAAACCAGATGGGATGGCGTATCACTGGAGAATGCTGTGGTAGCCATGCTGGTTAAGTGTGCCTTGAATTCTAAATAACTCACAGACAGTGTCACCAGCAAAGCACCCCCACACCATCACACCTCCTCCTCCATGCTTTACGGTGGGAAATACACATGCGGAGATCATCCGTTCACCCACACCGCGTCTCACAAAGACACGGCGGTTGGAACCAAAAATCTCAAATTTGGACTCCAGACCAAAGGACAAGCAGGTCTCTTCTTCTTGTGTCCTTTAGTAATGGTTTCTTTGCAGCAATTGGACCATGAAGGCCTGATTCACACAGTCCCCTCTGAACAGTTGATGTTGAGATGTGTCTGTGACTTGAACTCTGTGAAGCATTTATTTGGGCTGCAATTTCTGAGGCTGGTAACTCTAAAGAACTTATCCTCTGCAGCAGAGGTAAATCTGGGTCTTCCATTCCTGTGGCGGTCCTCATGAGAGCACATTTCATCATAGCGCTTGATAGTTTTTGCGACTGCACTTGAAGAAACTTTCCGTATTGACTGATCTTCATGTCTTAAAGTAATGATGGACTGTCGTTTCTCTTTGCTTATTTGAGCTGTTCTTGCCATAATATGGACTTGGTCTTTTACCAAATAGGGCTATATTTTGTATACCCCCCTTACCTTGTCACAACACAACTGATTGGCTCAAGCGCATTAAGAAGGAAAGAAATTCCACAAATTAATTTTAAGAATAATTAAGAAGGCACACCTGTTAATTGAAATGCATTCCAGGTGACTACCTCATGAAGCTGGTTGAGATAATGCCAAGAGATTGCATGATTCCATATGTGTTATTTCATAGTTTTGATGTCTTCACTATTATTCTACAATGTAATTTTTTTCTAAATAATGAAAAACCCTTGAATGAGTAGGTGTCTAAACTTTTGACTGGTACTGTATATATTTACAAAACAATATATGGGAGATTGGAAATTATGCAGACAATTACATTGATGGAATCTACAGCCTATCTGCACTATTAAAGCTGATCTACCCCCTAAAAAAAAAAAGATGATCTTTATACGTGGCTGCTATGAAAGTGAACTGTGTGTGCGCGTGATCAGGGGTGTATTCATTCCGCCAATCCTGTTTAAAAAACGTTTCTTAAATGGAAGCAAACGGAAATAAACCTACCTGAATTCTTCCAATAGAAAACTCTTGTTTGCGCTGTTGAACTAATGATTACACCCAGCTAGACCAGCTAGATGCAGGCAAGAGTGTGCAAGGCGGTATTGAATGTGTCACTGTCTGTCACCTTGATCCCTCAAATGTATCTCTCAACCTGTGTACCTACGTTATAAACTTTCATTCATAGGCTAGGTTGTAGCAACCTCATGATGGTTACAGGGAAAATTTGAGTATCATGTAGTAGCCTAAACCTATCGATGTTACATTGATCTGGGTGAATGGAATATGAATGACAGTCATCCAATATGCTGTAATAGAAATAAGGCCATGCTCATTAAAAATAAAACTGCACCGTCTGCCACTGGTGTATAGTGAAGTTGCACCTAGACGCTGATCTTGGGTCAATTTTTGCATTTTCTCCATTTAAAGTTAATGTTAGGATTTGTGGAGGGGATCTGATCCTAGATCTGTACCTAAGGGAAACTCGACCCTGAAACACAGTACTTACTTAGACTGCCCAGCTGTTTGATGATGGCAGCGAGAGTGCTGTTGGTAACACACTCCAGTTCACTGGTGACCTCATCAGGTACCGCACCTCGACACAGGTGTCTGGGCTCTATACGGCGCTTTACCAACGGCATAGTGGCTCACCTGGGGGGAGAGAGAGAGCGATATATGGAGAGATCAGAAGGAGAGGAGGGGGGAAGGAGGGGGGAAGAGAGATCAGTAAGAAGAGGAGGGGAAGGAGGGAGAGAGAGAGAGATCACTAAGAAGAGGAGGAGGGGAAAGGAGGAGAGAGAGGGGATCAGTAAGAAGAGGAGGGGAAGGAGGGAGAGAGAGAGAGATCACAAGAAGAGGAGGGGAAGGAGGGGAGAGGGGAGAGAGTCACTAAGAAGGGGGAGGGGGAAAGGGGGAGAGAGAGAGAGAGATCACTAAGAAGAGGAGGAGGGAAGGAGGAGAGAGAGAGATCAGTAAGAAGAGGAGGAGGGAAGGAGGAGAGAGAGAGATCAGTAAGAAGAGGAGGAGGGAAGAGGAGAGGGGAGAAAAGAGAATCACTAAGAAGAGGGGGGAGGAGGGAGAGAGAGAGAGATCACTAAGAAGAGGAGGAGGGAAGGAGGAGAGAGAGAGATCAGTAAGAAGAGGAGGAGGGAAGGAGGAGAGAGAGAGAGAGATCACTAAGAAGAGGAGGGGGAAGGAGGGGAGAGAAGAGATCAGTAAGAAGAGGAGGGGAAGGAGGGAGAGAGAGAGATCAGTAAGAAGGGAGGAGGGAAAAGGAGGGGAGAGAGAGAGATAGTCAGGAGGGGAGGAGGGAAGGAGGGGGGAAGAGAGATCAGTAAGAAGAGGAGGGGAAGGAGGGAGAGAGAGAGATCAGTAAAAAAGGGAGGAGGGAAGGAGGAGAGAGAGAGAGAGATCACTAAGAAAAGGAGGGGGAAGGAGGAGAGGAGAGATTTAGTAAGAGAGGAGGGGAAAGGGGGGGAGAGAGAGAGAGATCACTAAGAAAAGGAGGAGGGAAGGAGGAGAGAGAGAGATCAGTAAGAAGAGGAGGGGGGGAGAGGAGGAGAGAGAGAGAGGGGATCACTAAGAAGAGGAGGAGGGAAGGAGGAGAGAGGGGAGATCGTAAGAAGAGGAGGAGGGAGGAGGAGAGAGAGAGATCAGTCAGGAGGGGAGGAGGGAAGGAGGGAGAGAGAGAGAGATCACTAAGAAGAGGAGGAGGGAAGGAGGAGAGAGAGAGATCAGTAAGAAGAGGAGGAGGGAAGGAGGAGAGAGGAGATCAGTAAAAAGAGGAGGAGGGGAGGAGGAGAGGAGGAGATCAGTAAGAAGAGGAGGAGGGAAGGAGGAGAGAGAGAGATCAGTAAGAAGAGGAGGAGGGAAGGAGGAGAGAGAGAGATCAGTAAGAAGAGGAGGAGGGAAGGAGGAGAGAGAGAGATCAGTAAGAAGAGGAGGAGGGAAGGAGGAGAGGAGCGAGACAGTAGGAAAGATAAAATGACAGCGGAAGAGTAGAAGGAGAGAAAGACAAGACAGAAGGAGGTAGAAAATAAGGTAAATAATACATCTAAGTGAGCATCACAGAACCATGATATTACAAGACACTGATCAACTCAATCAGACTGCCAGATGAGATATCTACTGAACATCGTCATAATATAAACTGACCTCAAATCAGCCTTTAGGACATTTTACATATTTAGCTGATGCTCTTATCCAGAGCGACTTACAAGCGCAATTAATTTTCACCTAGCCAGCTCTGGGATTCAAACCAGTGACAGGGGAGAGGAGGAGCATGAATAAGCAAATTGGAGATGATTAGGTGGCCATGATGGGAATTTAGCCAGGACACCAGGGTTAACACCCCTACTCTTACAATAAGTGCCATGGGATCTTTAGTGACAACAGAGAGTCAGGACACCCATTTAACATCCCCTCAGAAAGACATGTCCCCAATCACATCACATTCAAAAGACATGTCCACAATCACTGCCCTGGGGCATATATATATACTTTTGGTTGTTGTTGATCAGAGGAAACACTGCCTCCTACTGGGCCCTCCAACACCACTTCCAAGAGCATTGGTCTCCATCGGGACCTACCCGGACCAACCCTGCTTAGCTTCAGAGGACCAACTG